GACGTTCTTCAATTGTAGGGATGCTCCCCTTGCTTTGTCAAGTTATGCATTCGTATCTCCACCAGGTCCCCTGCCTTTATCAATAATGCTGCCCAGGTACATAACAGTTTCGATCTCTCCCAGAGCTTCTCCCTCAATTGTGATTTGGTTGGAGTTTGTTGTGTTGTATTTCAGGATCTTGCTTTCTTCTTTGTGAATGTTGAAACCTGGTGCTGCAGGGGCTGCTGCTACACTGGCTGTCTTCGCCTGGACCGGTTGCTGTGTATGGAGTAGAAAAAACTAGAACATCTACAAAACCAGTCATATAGCTACATCCAAGCTGTCAACTGAGATGTGGACGTTTTCACAATCCAGTCAACTACCAAAACAAAAAGGAAAGAGTAAACAGCTTCGTCCGACACTGGTCTTCACTTGGAATGCATCTGTTAGTTGCCTTCTATGCAGGACTGCATTGTAGTCTGTCGTAGGAACTCCGTATGATAATGACCATCTTAGGTACACCAGTGTCGAAGAGGTTCCATAATGTTCTCTTATCTGCCCTGTCAAATGCTTTTTCTTAGTCAAGGAAGTTGATGTTTAGTGATTAGTTCCATTCGATTGACTGTTCGACACTGGTCCGTTGTGTCTCGACTTTTTCGGTACATGGTTGATCCGTATCAAAATTGATCGTCCACTGGATTTTTCATTCGGTTCAACAACACTTCGTTGAAGATTTTGTTCGGTACTAGTAGTAGTGTTACGCTAGAGATAGAGATCCATTCCTTATGAAGATTCTAGGTGTGGTCCAGAACCTCCAGGCATGTTGAAGTTAGTGCTTCTTTAGTTCATTTTCGTTTGTTCTCCATAGTAGTTTCTTTTCATTTAAGTAGATTTTGTAAGGCTTCGGACTTATTTCTGAGAGCTATTTTGGATTCTCTGAGTTTGTTGGTAGCTCTAAGGAAAGCTACACTGGACGTTTGTTATGCTCTCTGTCCAGTGCTTCTTTAGCTTCAGTTTCAGCTTGGCCACCACCCGGTGGTGATCTGAGGCTATAACAACTCCTCTCTTTGCTATGTCTTCCATGAACCTTCTGATGCAAATGTGATCGACCAGATTCTCTCAAATGTGGTCCAGTGAGACCTATAAGCATTTTGTTAAAAACACAAATTTGCAAATCCCTCACCATTTTATTTCTATTTCCTAGTCAATATCGTCCCATGATATCTCCATATATGATGTCCATTCCGACGTTGGCGACTAGGTCTCCCATCAGTATGGTCATTTCCTTCCCTAGGTACCTCTACAATCGACTGCAGTCTCATTAAACTGATGTTTATCGCCTTCACTGCTATCGTTAGTGGCCCATAGCACTAGGTGATATTCATTGTAATCTGTTCTTTCTTTTTTTGAAGGATGATTCGAGGATCATGGATCCATGAGATTCGCATCCCATAGGTGCTTTCCGCACTTCTTTGGAGAGCATCGGCGCAACTTCTTATGTATGCGAGGCGTTTTCTTCATGACCAGAATACAACAGCACCTCTCCCGCAGCTTACGTCGAATGGGTTTTACTTGTTTCAAGAGTCGACAGGTTATATCTTATCATTTCTGCCGCTACTAGAATGATCCTCCCGGTCTCCTACATTGTGCGGAGATCCTATGTACCTATATTAACTGTTGCTCTGGTTGTCAGGAGCGGCATCGGCCTCGTGATTTTCTAAGAATCTCGGCTATCGCCATGAGGTGTGATGACTATTCAAAATGAAGAACTTCCAACTCCTAAGGAAAAGTTTAGATGGGGAAACTGTTTTTTCTGGTTAGCGTTTTTTGAGCAAGATTCTTTTCTGCGAGATGGGGTTTCTAGCCCCATGCCCAGTCCTCCTTTATCCGGGCTTAGAACTGGCAGTAAATCTAGTAAGGCCCCAAACGAGGTTGTTGACACAAAGTAAAAAAAGGTTAGAAGAACCAAATTAATTTTAGTGGACTTCACTTTCTTTGATACTCACTATTCCCAATTTGAGGACCGACTTTCTCGTTTTCACAGTCTCAAATCGCAATGATTTACATTTATTTAGAAACTTGTACCATAGTTTACTTACCATTGCTATTTATATGTTTCTTAAAGCTGAGTGAAAATATTTGTCTTGTGGTTACATATGCAGTTTGAACTCAACATCAATAGGTAAACAATACTCTTGACTGTGTTTGGACAGTATCCTGGGAAGTAGAAGTTTTGATTGAATCAGGTGTTATATATGTTAGTACAGATCTCTTCAGTAATTTAATTAAGTGGTAATTTGGATATTACTTGTGTTATACGCAGAATCTTTCATCACAGCAGTATTATCACGTATAAACATGAAAAATGTACTCCCAGCTGTTATTTGTGTATACTCAGTTGATCTTAGTGATTTTAGTACTATATGCTTTTCATCGATGTTACATTTATGTGTTTATGAAGTTCAACACTTGTCGTGAAGCTCGTTCTGTGATTGAACAGATAGCATTGTCCTTGGCTGCCGCTGAATCTGCTCTTCAATTTGAACATAGAGACTTACATTGGCATAATGTATTGGTCCGACCTACTAGACAATGGAAACTGCGCTATCGTGTTGGGGGAGTGAGTTATGCCGTTTTCACTGAAGGAATACAAGTTACAATAATTGATTTCACAGTATCCCGTCTTTGTCATGGTACGGATTGTTTTTTACGTATTTCTCGATACGCATATAGAATGTTTTGTTCTATTCACTATTATACTTGGAACACTATCAAAGGATTTTTTGTATCTTATTTACTCCAGGTAGTACCTAGTCCATTTTAATGAGTATTTTTATATCATATGAATGTTTTTAATAGCTATAGTATTTATTTATTTGAACATATATTGGTACAAAAGAAAGTCAGGTTGTAAAGAGATAAACGAAGGAAGATGAGTATAATAAAGAGAAAAACAATAAGTGGATAGAGCAAAGAATTATGGAAACGCAGTTCTACTGGGAAGAATACAACCAGGTAAAATTCTCTCAGTACAAGGTCCTCTCACTTATATGGAGAAAGTAAAAGGAATAACAGCAGGATCACCACTGACCGTTATGAGTCATGTCTGATGACATGTCAAGCCAATTGTGTTGCACTCTAGGACCTCAACCAAAGAGTCGTAAATAATCGACAGACACTAGTCTTGTACAACTTCTTTTCACAGCATGGGACTATCATAACCCGACTAAACAGGTTAGTTTGGATGGGACACATAGTTTCAGGAAAGCTTATTCGAAATTCGTATTCAGTGGTAGCATTCAACTGTCGACCAGTTGGTGACCTGATTTCCTTTAAATAGGAAAGGAATACACAAAATGGGAGTGAAAGTAAATAGATAAGTGATGGAATCTAAAATAAAAATAATGCTACTAAATAGTTGAATATAAATTATGGGGGTATTTCCGTAAGTCGTAGTCATCATCCACGAGACAGTTGAGCAACATCGGGAGATACTGCGATTTGTGGTTTGGAGTCAGACTTTTCCAACTCCCTTAGATGTCTCCTGCAATATTGACCAGTCTGGTTCAAGCACCGGATATTCGCCTTCCATCCTCACTTTTTCAGTGAACACTCCAGTCACGAGAAGGCACTGAGGGGAAGCGAACATCCTCCACCCTCGGCCGTTTTAGTGCATTTGGGGGAAAAGCCGTAGGTGAACCCTGGTGCAGCCCAGCTATAGACGCGATTCTAGACAGAATAGTTAATCCCTAATTTTACACGCCACTTTACTATTAAAGTAAAATACCGAATAAACGCAAACAACAGTGAGGACTAGAGATAAAACAAAGCGTAGATGCTAATTCCCGTGGATCACATGGAACTTGTCCTTAATATATGATTTTTCACCAAATAGAATTCAAAGTTAATCCATATAAAGATCAAGTCATACTAACTAAAGTAGTGAAAAATTAGTAATGTATTCTGCACCAAAATGGATTTCGTTGTAACCGTTTGTTACTTTTCAGGGTTTCACAAGTTGACTCATTCACTAAGCACACTAGGTGTGAGGGTTAATCATCTACCGCATTGCCCAAACCTAAGTAGATGCTGAGGGTTCCGAATCTGGGACTTACTGCTTTGCATACTATTTAATTATTCAAGAACTAGGATAGTCATTAGGCAGTTCGTTGGGCTGACTTGAGAATGTTAATATACATAAATATTGTTATGGCGAAATTTAATACAACAACCTGGTAAGAAATACAGTCCTTTGATCTTATTACTAGTTCACTTGAAGCTTAAACGGTTTGACTATACTGAAAATAGTGATAAGACTGAAATAACCGTATGATGTACATATTGTCTAACTTTCTCGCATTCTTAATCCCATTAGTAGTACTAAGCGGTATTTAGTTTCTGAAAAAATGACTGAAGTTTCGCAAAAGCGTTCCACTTAGTTATATTTCTCACGTTTAACATTGAATCTTGCTAACTATTGTTGTGAGTTGATATTTTTGTTGTTGTATACATTCAGTACAAAATATTACCACAATCGATTGTCTCTAAAAATCTCATACTCTGGGATTGGACCTTCTTTTATTGTTAAAAGTTATTTATTAAATTAAAAGCAGTAAGTTTCCTTTGACCGGAAACAAATATGGAGGCAGATTTCCAATGGGATGTTTTCTTTTGGAACCGTGAATGTTTACCATCGATTATTTTCGAATATTCGACATCTCACACATCACAAAACAGTTTCTTAATACTTAGTGATCAGACGGCATTATATGGGCCACCAGGCTTCATTTTAGCATTTACATTACTTCCTTTCTCCTTGGGTAGCTTGGAAAGAAATTACATCGCTTCTCGTGTACTTCTGATTTTTTAATTTTTAGAAGGCAACATTGTTTACGTTGATATGTCAGAGTCACCAGAAATTTTTGAGTGTGAAGGGGATTATCAATTTGACATTTACCGTATAATGCGCAAAAACAATGGGTATGCTATAAGTGACATATTTGTTTTCATACGTTTTTTTTAAGTGAAAATCATTTCGTCGTATATTTACATGCATAACTTCCCAGAATTAGTGGGGATTTAGGCTTCGTAATACTTTCTTAGTATCCAGTGATGGTAGCCATTAACGCATTTGTTACAATTGGATGAGCACTCCACCCCGCGATACATCTATTTATAAACCTTCAGAAGTCATAAATTAGTGAAAACAGACTAGTTATAAACCATTTGATTTGGGAGCTATACACTGAACGTGTACTAAAAACTCAGTCCCAATGATCCATAAATTTGTTACGACTAGGTATTGTTTCCAAGTTACGTCTCACATTTATTGATGTCTCATGTCTTAAAATTCACCGTATATATGGTGAACACAAAATATTTCAAACATAACATAGAAAAGACTAGATATTGGAAAAGTGAAGATTCCGTGATTCAGCGTCTAAAGGGGATACAAGGAGTTGATACACTTGGGCCATTACGAACAATTCTGACCCATGTCACTCGGAGTCTGCACTTGGGTCAGTCCGATTATCGACGGCTTAATGGAATCGTTCAACGTCAAGGTAAATAATAGTTGAACACATGTCCCAACCACGTCAGTTGATGAAGATTTACTACCTCTTTAATTGATTTGCCATCCTCACCTAGTACCATATTCCCAAGCCAGGAATCGTCTACTCGGTGGTCCCGAAATACACGGACAATACTTCGCAGACACCTATGGTCGAATACCCGTAGCCTACGAAGATCTATTTTTAATGGCCATGTTTCACACCCATAAAGCAGAACGAGGCAAACTACTGCACTATAAACTGGTTCTTTGGTTGGCAAACGAATACCCTGCCTACTCCACTAGTGGCGCAGGTTGGCTAAGACCAATCGAGCTCCCTGAATTCGTACCAAGATTTCGTCAGACACCAGACCATCAGGAACAATGAAACTTCCAAGATAATTGAAGCGGTCGATGTACTCAACCACTTCACTTCCTATCATAAGTTCAAGCGCTGATGTAGGTCAATCCTAAAGCAACATTCTGCATTTTGGAGGTGAGAATCTCATATCAAACATGCTTGCATTGTTGTTTAGTGGTCAAAAGGCTGCATTTTGTCAGCGTCTGCACCAAGTAGAACTATATCGCCTGTGTACTTTAAGTCAACAAGTGAATATTTTAGTAGAAGATCGACCTTTGGGAAGTCTGACAATGAGTGCGTTAACTCTAAAGGGATGTATGTGACAAAGTTAAATAAAAGTGGGGAAAGCAGACAACCCTGATGAACACTTGAAGTTATCGACTCCGATAAGAGTTCCGCATAGATTTCGACTCGACCAGTAGTGTTAGAGTAGAGAGCCTGCACAAGGTTGCAGTTACAGTTATAACTTTTCCTCATTATCATAATACTAAGTATCTTATTTATTTTGTATTACAGGAATGATTGGCGCCCCTTTCATCCAAGTTCCAATCTTTATTGGCTTCATTATCTTATGGGAAAACTTTTAAACGAAACATCTTATCCCAGACGTGATCCTGATTCTCAACCTGTGGAATCTGAACTGCGCGCACTATATGACATGATACTAGCAGGTGATTATAATTCTGCCACACAACTTGTGAGCTCAAGTTTCTACTTCGATGCTTGTCGAATCGGTTAACAGGGACTTGACGAATTTCCCAAAACCTCTGAGATCGTTCCTATTTAGATTCTTTCCGCCTTCTAATCTTTCATACGAAACTCTACCCTTTTGTTTTGATAAATGATATGTTTAAAGTAGAACTCTTCCCATTCACATTGAGGAACGTTAGCTTTTTGAGAACTCGTATCATGAAGTTCGATAATTTTAGAGCAATTTTTCCGGTTCCTTGACATTTGTTCTATGTTTGTGGTTAGTTTTGGATATTTTTTATAGATCTCGTTTCGAAACCGCTTTTGTATGATCAAATATTCATTTGCCAGGTTACTTATCGTTTGGTTACGAGTGTTAGCGCTTCCGCTGACTTCCACTTATCATGCCACAACTGGATATTTGGTTTGGCGGCTTTTCATTCTGACCTTATGGAACGGCACGTATTATTTTCTTGCTACTACTTGAAGTTAACCAACTATTCGTGCTTCCTTAAAATACAGCAGATCAATAGAGGCGTACAACGCCCACTGAGCCCAAATTCTAGTCAATATTTTTCCTAGGTATCAAGAGCACCACACGGTGCCTATCGTATCAGGAAAATAACGAGTCAATCGGTGGACTCATCAAGAAGAGGTGGGACGACTGAACCATACAAACTAACTTAAAGACCTAGAAGTGGTAATCCAGCTTATAGTAAAGCTGAACATAGAGAACATTGCAAAATTGAAGTGTCATTTGAAAACATCTGCGATAGGAACCGAAGGTGGACGACACACCGAACTCTGTACACAGTCAGGACATCGGCAGATGTTATTGATCAGCGTCTTGTCAGTTCCAGGTTGTTTCACTGAACCAGACTTCTTGTTGCCAGTAGATTGGATGAGTTGAAAGAGCTTGCGGTAGTTATGATACACAGCTGGAGCTTCTGGTTCGTTAGCATACTCCTCGCGATCAGCGGAGGCATGCTGATGTGCCATGACGAGTTGTAAGGAGCCTGTATAAACCCAGAGCTAATCAGCAAGCAACTTTTCTGACCATTCCCATGAGGTCATACAAATGTAGTCAGAGGGTCGATATCTAGCCTTTAACTTGTCCCAGTTTGATATTCGGTTGCAATAGAAGCTTCGGTCGACTCGTTTACATCGATATACTTAGAACGATGAATCTGTTGACCACTGAAGCGTAAAACACGATTAGCACAAACGAGGGATGGTCCGAGTCCAGATAAGTACTCTATAAAGAGCTGAAGCCCTGTACACAACCACGCCAACGGTAGCTGGTTGTAATGCGGTCAGTGAGTCCAGACTCGACATGCAGAGAAGGATGACAGCGATGATTGTGCCGTTAGTCAATGATAGCCTGAAACAGGCTTTAGTCTGTAACGTCGCAGTAGACCTGTGTCCAACAAGTTGCTAATAGGCAACCAAACGACTCTCGGTATCTAGATGCCTGGTCCGTACATTCGAATCTCCCGTCAATACTACAATATCTGTAGAACGTGCTTTCTGGAGATCACTTAACTGGTGGTATAATTAATCCTTGATAGCATTCTGGTTTCAATCTGTCGAGGTGTAGGTAGTAACGAGAGTAAACTCACTTCGATGGAGCTCCCTAATCCGGCGATACAAATGACCACTTATAGGGTTCCAGCCTATAGATTCTACCTCAGCCCTAGCGTTTAATGCGGCAGCAAAATCAGGCGGAGATGCCACATGGTTCCCCAGTGAATGTACATGAAACAAGCTCTGGGAATCGGCAAATAAATAGTGAGTATATAGTGCTTCAATAGACTTGAGCAAGTCTCAGGCAACAAACATCGATTTTAAGGTGTCCCAAAGACATAGTCAGCCTTACCTGTTGTTCGATATGCAATTAATTTGAGAATATTGAAAGAGGTCAGTTCGAACGATACACTGAGATTCAGGAAGGCTGATGCGTAATCAGTGGCAGCTTCCGACCGGTTAGTGATGTGATAGTTTAGATTCCCACCATAATCGATCCGTTGAGTGAGTTGAAGACTAGGAGAGTATACAAGAGTGGAATGGAACAGAGATATTCAATAAAGTAGGTTGTCGCTGTCATATAATCGTGAGAATTCATATTGAAGTACAGTTCTCAGTTGTAACCATTTATGTGAACCAAAATGATCTCAGGAGTACCGGAGTAGGCAGTTTTTTTGGGGTCCTTGAGCGATTGACCTAAAGATCTAATCCAAAAGGCAGTGAAGCAACGTCAAGATGCTATCTCACGGTAGCCAACAACCAAGGATAGGTTAGTGCGCCATTTGTTTGGAATTAGGCTCACCCAACTCTTCAAGGCAGATTCTGAGTACCAAACAGAAGTGTAACTCAAGTGCAGGGTCGATAGATGATTCACAAGAATCGGACCAATTCTATTTGCAATTCTGATGTCTTCAATCTTTATCGTGTAAACCATCCGATCATCTGAGTGTTAGCTTAATTATGTCTGAAGGCTACTAAACCGGACTTATCATCCCCACTATTTGATTGGAATATCAACTGTAAATATAATCCAAACACTAACTGCATAAACTTTCGTATCTGATTCATTCCTAATTTGATTTGAAAGTAGAGATATCAAGACGTCAGTGGTGAATGTCATCGGATGTATTACAAGTTTGATACTTCAAAGCTCTTGGTTACAGATTCAACCTAGAGGACAATGAAACTGAGAAAAGTACTCTTCACAAATTATATCACGTCCATAAATACAACCAACATTAACAGATGGCCTAGACCTGTGGTACTCCATGAATTATTGGGATCAACTAAGTCTGTAAATGATACCAAAATTAATTTAAATGTTAGTAAAGTTAACGTTTCATGAATAATCTCAAACTGCCAACATAAACGTCCCTACAATGGAGAACCCAATGATTTCAATCTATGGTCTGCTGGAAGAGCCATGCTATGGGAGATCCATACGAACATAAAACATTGCGGTTATAAACGTATCACGATAATTGTACCAGTGAATTCCACAGACCTTGTGAGTACCAGTTGAGAGTTAATATGAAACTAGTCATGAGCAACCTCAAACACTACGAGAACAAAATCTTAGTAATCCGCATGCAATCTACTTCAACAAAATAGTAAGCAGTCCACCGTCGCTTTTCATCTTGGATCACCATGTCTAGAATCCAGATGAGACGAGATGCCGCGAGCATTACGACACATATCAATGTATGTACCGACTCGGAAGACCCCAGAATTACGACCAAACCTCAGAATGACTAAAGTGAAAGCATTCGAAAACATAACTTGTGTCGTCTTATTGTAATAAGTTTTACTGCGGCAACCAAATGCTTAACTGAAAATTTAGGATAACAGAAAATGAAAAAATAGCATAAACTGAGTTAATAGTACATTTCGTAGAATGAAGCTAAGGCCCAGTTGGAAGCGATGATAAAAGCTTATTAAAAATCAATCACAGGGGAGCTAAAAAGAAAGTTTTTGATATTATTCAGATGTAAAGTACATGCTAGAATAACAAGAGCGCATAAGACAAACGACCAGCTGTATTTTGTTTACCACTGATGCAGTGAACACAAATGGAGTCTTCGATTAAACAGTACTTTGGAGCTTCCCAGATCCGACAGTAGAAACAAGTGAAAAGGAATCGGAGTTCATACTATAGCATTATCATGAATCGGGATGGCCTATTCTTTTGATCACGTTACTACGCTGGAAGAGCAAAAGCTTTGCCCTTAATAACTAAAAAATCACGTGGTTAGATAGTTACATACCTCTAGTTATGTACAAGTAGAAAAAATCGCAATATAGTAAAGTTTGCAAAACACCCGCAGAGATGGCTATCAAATCGTAATAGTTCTGGACATAATACCGATATATCCAGTTGAGTATGTACAGACCACGGTAAGAACCAAGCGAAAATAAGTAGTGAGAAGTGATGGTTTCTGCTTCTCCAGTTTTGCTAATAAGAAACAATTGCGGCAGGATGGCAACTGATTCCAAATATATGGAGAAGGTCCACAACAACTATGGTAAGGTTGAGCACTATTTATTACGACTTGCCTCAATAATTTGAAAACGATGATTGACAATCAATGCCAGTAGAGCGCATGGAACAATAAGGAACTCCAAACGAAACGTGTCATGATTTCCATCATATGTAGCCTTGAATCTAAAATATATTAAATACAATGTCGCATAAGATGAAAATATGAAGATGATCTTTGCGAGAGAATTGTATAGAGACACATAAGATGTCAGAAGATCAACATAACGTGTGGTGAATACAATAGCGAATGCAATTTGACTACGTCCTGACAGACCTGAAACGTAGCGTTGGTTGCGTTCATCGAACTGTACCTGCACAAGATCGTGTTTTCCAAATCTTCAGTAGTAAAATTATAATAGCTGCAAAATGTGAAGCATCTCCAAGAAACCGGAATATATTCATGATAACAGTAATCCGGTGAGCACGACGCCAGGCTAAACTCAACCAACGCTAAAACTAAGTTCTGCTGAGATGGACCTATTTAAACACATCTAGTAACCAACATCCAATACTTTTATGACGTGCTTGAATAAACCAATTGATTTATTTGAACTCCCTTGTTGTTGTCTCAGCATGTTTTCGGGTCTTTGATAATCTCCGGTGGTCTGTGGTTTAGCCACAACAATACACTGATTCTGGTCTGTTTGGGATATGTTTGTGGATTAGTATATCTTGTAATCTGAGTATGTGAGTTCTTCTGAACTCAGTAGGGCTTCTAAGGCCAGCCGCTATCATTTCATCAGGTGAGAGATCGGTTTATTGCAGTGTAAGCAATAGTAAATAAAAATTCAAGTACAGAAGTGTGAAGAAAAATGATGGTCAAAAAAGTAGATTAATTAATCAATTAATAATCCACATGGTGTGAACAGACATAAGTGCAAAATCTGTAGGTAAAGATGGATGATTGGAACAAAAGTAAGAATAAACCGATGCTGTTTGATTGTGATAACGGTAAATTAGTTACGAGATGCCCATCAGGTACAACTAGTCCAAGTAGAAGATGGCAATCCATGGATGAGTACGTATTTGTCAAGTCTGCTCTTAAAACTATCCTTTGAAAAGTCTGTGATCATCTCAGGAGGGAGAACGTTTCATATAGTGAGAATTTATAACGAGTAAAAGGTGGGAGTAGACCTAGGCTTCTCCTCGTGTAACGCAGTAGTAAGGTTTGGAAGGCATATTTGTGTAGTGACAACTTGCAAGTATGAGATCACCCACCATTCTCACATGGCTCAAATAGAATGATCTGAAGTGCTAGGGTCTACCTTCGTAGGACCTGTTCACTACTTCCATCACCTACTTAGTTCTCTACCTCTGTATCTGGTCTACCTTTATGTCTTTTTTAAAGGGAAGAACAATGACGTTGTGGACTTCCAGGTGAGGTCTCGAGTACTTCTAGGACAGTATCAGAAATAATTCTGGGGGAGGATGTCAATCCTCCTCCGAGTAATTTAAAGAGCAGCATTTGCTCTGGTTCCATCCTTGGTGAAGTTTGAGCTGTAGTGCAAGATCTCTGGTTTGCAATCTTGGGTCGTGCGTCATAGGGCTGGTTACGAGTAGATTTCCATGGTATGTGTAAGTTGTTTGCATTTTGTAGGGTTAAACCATAATGTAACATTTTAACATGTTAAATTTGTTTCGGGGTCCTCTGGTAGTCCAGACGAACCCAAATCCCTTCATATGGACCTCTGAGTCTCAGTATCGTCAGCTTGTGTGACGGTGGATGACCTAGTTTCATTTACGAGTTCCTTAATAAAAGTTAGAGAGAGGAAAGGTCTAAAAATAACCCCCTGTGAAGTCCTCGATGTTGAGACCTTCTAGCTAGCGTGCAGCTAGATACGGAAAATCCGGTTTTTAGGTAGTTTCGAAGCCGCAAAAGGAATGAGCAGGTGAAACCCTTCTCTGCAACCTTTGCTTTAAGGGGTGCATGTGGCACTGTGTAAAATGCCTTGATGATGTCAAGAAATGTCTTGTGGACTGGTACCTCTTGTTTTCTACAGGTTTTCCAGCTTTTTCATACAAAAAGAAGGCTGGATATCCAGGACCCTGGTTCTCTGATCCTGTGTTGGTCCTCATGATTGTGTTCTGTCCATGTGTTACCTCATCAATCATGTATCGGTCCTCTAAATGTAATGCGGATAGTTTGTAGCAGTCTCGTTCTTCCCTGACTCCTTCCGTGAAGAACTCAGCGAGAGCAGACTGTCTCCATTATTTTGGAAGTTGCTATGACTTCAGTGATTTCCTGAATATGTCACATACCAGTGGACTAATGGCTTTCACTTATTACTATAGGGCTACAGGGTGGATGTGGATGGACGTAAAGATTTGAGTGTATATGCTACGATATAGCAGTGCTAATCATTTTATAACGAAAATGATTGTATCAAAACGACCAAAGGGGGAATTCTTCGTTCGGCTAAGAAGCGTTTAGAGTCTTCAGAAGTTATGTATTATCGGGTAAATGATCATCAGCTATCTATGGGGATTAAGTCGACGAATATTAGAAACTCCATCTTTCAAATTCTAGATGCCAATGATTTCAGTACACACAAATAATAATCAAATACAATAACAAAAACCAAGTGAGTTCATCTCGACTTCCGTTATTGATTATTATTATTATTATTATTCACAAACATCTTATGGGTACATAAGTGTTGTGAAGAAACCATTTCGGGTTTCTTCAAAAAATGCAATAATACACAATTTTCAATAATGTCAGCATTATACTTGCCATTTAAAAAAAATTAGAGCAATAATAGTAGAATATTAATAATAATAAATCGGGTCTGTGCAACTGAGAAGAATATTGAATTGAGTTTAAAGAAGGAAATGGAGAAAATAAGGGAATAGAAATAAAGGAGACGTGAAATACGCAAACAGTCTAATAGGCGTGTTTATGAACACAGAACAAGAATAAACGACTATGTGTGTATCGTTAAATTAGTAACAAAAATACTTAGAAAAAAACAACTTATAATTGCAGTAAGATATGACGCTAGAATAAATGTTTGTGCAGTTATAGTTTGGAGTGATGCGATGGAAGTCTCAATTGAAGTGGAAAGGATAATAAAATATCAATATGTATGAGTAGTCATATATGCATAGTGAAGATAAAACGAGTCTAATAAGTTAATTTAAGTGTAACACAAGTTATTGTTTTAATTACAAACTTCGTAATCTTAAGAATAATATTTATATAGAAGGGAAAAAGAGAGACAAGAGAAGTAAATACCTAGTGAAAAGGTTCATCCATAATAAGAATAATAATTGTGTAATGAATATCAACCTCAGAAGGAAACCAACAATTTAGAAAAATAAAATAAAAATCCTCTAAAGCACTCGGATAAATACATTTAGATTTATGTAATAATATACAGAGTGAAACCGGATATTAGTATAAATATTTGTGCAATAATAATTAAGATTGATGCTATGAAAGTCAAAATTGATTTCAAAGGACAATCTAGAGTTAAATATGTTTAGAAGGATAAGAAGATACAAAAAGAATATATAATGTGTCGGGGAACAAATAATGATATTAATAACGGAAATAATGATAAGAACGAACATAAGCAGATTCCATATATTAAGATAAATAGAAATAAAATAAAATAGACGTGAAAAGATTTAAAGGTTTTATTTTGCTTTTCAAGCAATTAAATGGATGACGGACCTTGTTTGTATAAATCATTATTGAATACATTGATATTCAATAGGTGACATAATCCACTTTCGGAAAGAAAATCGTCAAGGAGACTTTTGAGCCGGGTTGTAGTTTCACTGCAACGGAGGTTCACTGGCAGTCTGTTCCACATGGTTGAGTAGCGAATAAGGAAAAAATTCTGACGTAAGTTTGTGTGGGTTCTTGGAATCGCTAGAATATTCTCCTTATTGCGTAGATTGTGGGATGATATCATAAGGTATGAAGGGGTGGATACCGAGGAGTAGGAAATACCGTTAATAAGCCGGTAGATAAAGGCAAGATTTAATTTGATACGTCTGATCCAAAGAGGTTCTAAGTTGAGTTGTTGACATTTTTGGTGATAGTCTTTGTTATCGGAATACCCCAGAACAGCTTTGGTGAACTTTCTTTGAACACCTTCAATTCTAATCAGGTCATTATGTCTACAATTACTGTAAACTAAAATACCATATTCAAGAATGGGCAAGACACATTTTCTGTATAGTAACAATCTCGATTCGATATTATTGAAGTTTATCATTATCAATCCGATGAGCTTTCTAGCTTTGGATACTTGAGATATAATGTGTTCAGAAAAGTTCAGACTATTGCTATATCTTAAACCCAGGTCACGAACAGTGTTGAGAGGTTTGAGTGTATGTGTCTGTACAGTCAGATTTAAGTTAAGACAGCGACCAATGTGAATAAATCCACTTTTGTCAACATTAAGTGGCATATTCCACGAAATAGTCCATTCGTACAGCCTGTTTATTTCCTCTTGGATTACCGCTGAAATATAGCTTTCTTTCGTGGGAGAAGAGAATGAATAAACTACTTTCAGGTCATCAGCAAAAAGGAAAGGCTTACCATACTGAAAGAGGGAACACACATCATTGATAAAAAGGAGAAAGAGTAACGGACCAACCACACTTCCTTGTATAACCCCACTGGTTACATTCACAGGTTTAGAGTAGCAAGATCCAAAGCGAACGATTTGGCTACGTTCTTCTAAAAAAGATTTGAGCCAAGATAAAAGGGGATTCTGTATGCCAAATGAAGAGAGTTTTAAAAGAAGAAGTTTGTGTGAGACACTGTCGAAAGCCTTACTAAAATCGAAGTAAAGAACTATCACTGACTGACCAACATCTCTTCTCTGGGTAATTTGATCAAAAAACTCCAGGTGCGATGTGAAACATGAGCGTTTAGTCATAAACCCGTGTTGGGATGGGCTGATCAGACTAGCCGAAAGTAAAAATGATAGTAGCTGTTTGTGGATGATTTTTTCCATGGTTCTTGAGAGCACGGATGTCAAATTAATTGGCCTATAGTTAATAATATCACTACGTGGTCCTGTTTTGAATCTAGGGGTGATAAGGGATGTTTTCCATGCAGATGGATAGGTCCCATATTCCATAGATAGATTGAAAAGTTTCAAACAAAATAGTGGAAATTCTCTACTTCCATATTTCACAAATGATGAAGGTATCCCGTCAGGTCCACCATCATAAGACTTTTTCAGGGCAGCTATGGCCTGCTTGATGTTGAAGGGTGTAAAATCAATTTTCGACAGATGTCTGGATGTCAGCATTGGAAATGTAGTGATGGAGTTTTCAGTCCCAGTTTTGTAGCACTGCGAGAAGTGCTTGCTGAATTGTTCGCATATAGTATTCGGGTCGTTAACAATGCTTCCGTTAACTATGAAGAATTTAGTCGTGCCAAGGGAATTTGACTTTACACGGGATTTAAAAAGTCGAAGTATTGATAATTCTGGGCTTTTACTACGTAGAGCTTTATTTTCTATA